TCCTCATCGGGATTGTCTTCGTGATCAATCAGGGTTTGCGCCAGACATTTAGCGTTGTCGAAAGTGTCTGGCTTTGCAGCCAAAACATTCCCTTTGGTTGGCTGGGTCAGCCCCCAGATAAATCTTTCAATCTTTTTACTTTCCGGGGTAACAATTCCCGGATAGAGAAGCACTAGGTCTTCGAATCTGGAGGTGTAAGCGGCGATGTCGGAACCGTTCATCTTTAGATTCCAAAATTCATGCTCCAATTTCTGCATCTCGCCTCGCGGGCAGTACTCAGCAAGCAGAATCTCCTTCATGGTTTCCCAACCCATAGCATTGGCTACAACTAGGGTTAGGGATTTGACTCAGCCGTTCCACCAAGTCAGGGCTTTATCGGTGAAGGTACATGCGTCAAATTTCACCTTATCCGATTCAGAGCAGACACAAATTTCGAAAATAGATTCAATTTTCTCGAACCATCAGGTTAGGGCAATGACACCTCCAGTGCCATCAAAATATGTGGGTTTTGCGTTCAAAAAATCCTTGTAGGAACACTCCTTCCGGTGTCCCTGGTTACCGTCCTAGTTTTGAGATTGGGTACCACCTCCTGAACCACCAAAGTTCATTTGAGACATGGTGGCTGCCACTGCAGCAGTAACAGCTTCCTGGAACATCACGTGATCAAATTGAGGAGGAGGTGATGGCGGAGGAGGGTTGTTGTTCTTTGAACTGGGTCACTTTTTTGGAGGCATCTTGATCTAAAATGAATAGGAAAAATAGGATAGTAAGTCCTCTGAATTGAATCTAGAGATATGAAACAGGGGATATCTTACTATGACAGATATAGGGTTCCATAAGCGATAAACAAGAAAGAGTTATCAAAGCAGATAAACTATCACTAAAGAAGGAACGAGTAGCAATACTTGGAATGAATTTCTACACTGTACTCGGTTCTGGCTAAAATACTCCCATATTATTTTATGTTTCGCTATAACGTCGATTCATTTTTTGGATCTTATGTAAGTTTTAGGCACACTACATACCACAGTCACTCCAAAACACATGTTGGTCGTGTCTCGAGTGAATATAGTTGATAAGGCAATATTGACCCTAGACACGACTACATAACTGCCCAGGTTTAACCGCAGTACACAACACCCTTTATGTTTTAAAGTATAATTTTAGTTCAGAGCACTTTTAGCTCAGAGCACTTTTGAAAATAATTATATTTTTATACTTTTAGTTCAAAGCACTTTGGCCCCTTTATGTTTAGAGTATTATACCATGTAAGCTTTGGTATACTAGTTCACTGTAAACAAGGGCTCTGATACCAATCTGTCACACCCCGAAACCGATGGCGGAAACGTTCTGGGGCGGAGGACGTCATGTAGAGTATCACAACCAACGTACATAGTAAGCATAGCAAACACAAAACATTACATTACGTAGAATCATTACATTTGTTTGAAAGTAGAAAAGCAAAGCAATACATGTTTATCGATACATAAGTTTAAACAAAAGTTAGACGTGACTTCCATACGCTCTGTCTTCAGCAAAAGAACGTGTGATACCTGTCTAAGGAGAACCTGAGAATACAAGCAGTTTAAAAACCAGCATAAAGCTGGTGAGTTCATAAAATGTTTGTTTATGTAAAACGATCATTTTTCCCTTGGTTTTCTGAAAAGTTGTTATCCAAGAAAATCCTATATTTTCTTATAAGGACAGTTTAGTTAAACTTCCGAATTTCCATTCGGTACAACAGTAGATAGTTTGATATGTAAAACTATATATTGAAAAAACCCTAGATTACCATCCAGTACAACAGTAGGTAGTTTTAATATATAAAACTATATATTAAAGGAAGATATATAAAACCCTTGAATAAACTTATATTTTTAATACGTATTGTGAGTCGGATAACCATGCTAATATGACACGAGACCTCCTTGACGTTCTTCAGGCATTGGACGATATCCATAATTTGTCACCCCAAGCGTGCCCGCATAACTATAGCTAGCAGTTAAGGTGTGGGATTATCAGTCCCGAGTAGATCTATTCACAAATTCCACGCTCTCCCTCCAGGAAACTCTGGTTATACTTCCGGGGAGGATTTACTGATAACCCGAAGGGTTTAACGAAGACAAATCTCACAAGCTAGTATTAAATTATTCGCGTGTACTTGGTCGTTATCAAATATCGTAATCGTTTTGAAACATAATACAGTAAAAACAATTGAATACAAAGAAATTATCTGGCATGATACTCTAAATTAAACTATGATAAACTGAATCAGACATAGTTTATCTATTAACTTTGCATGAAATATGTACTCGTAAAACAAGAACTAAAGATCCCAAATTATTCCCATAATAATTTGATTGTTTTGATTGTTTCTCACACTGTAATTGAAAACTACTTAGTTATATTCAGAAAAACATCCCTTATGCTCTGCATGATAAAAAGGGGTAAAGATATTTAAAAGTTTGCCAGATATTTATAGAATTACATCAGTTTTAAGTTTCAAAAGCGTTTATATTTTGCTTGTATTCCCCCACCTGAAAACATTGAAAAACACTGAAAAAGGTGTAGCGGTATGAACTCACCAGACGAGAAATGTGTCGGTTGGATGCTAATTGTCAGTTCGGGGCTTGGGAACGCACGAGGTTCCTATGTAATATGAAGAGATACATAATGGTATCTAATTAGACTTTGAACCACTAATTAGATAAGACAGTACACTCCGAGACGCGAAAACACTTCATTTCAAGTGTTAGGAGTGACCTGGGTAATATCTAAGGGTGTGTATGGATTGGATATGGAGTTTACTCTTCAAGAGTAAACTCCTAATGGATTTTTCGGCCCAAATGACCAACTCCCCATGAGTTTACGGCCGTAAACTCATGGTGGGGGTGTTCTTGGGTGCCTAATGGTCTAACAACTCTTGTGGGTTAATGCTAGGCTTGGTTTTAAGGCATTGGAAGGGATTAAACCACCAAAGGAAACATTCAATGGATTTTACGGCTGTAAACTACGAGTTTACGACTGTAAGCTCCCATATACCCATTCCTTTTATGTTTTGGTGGTTCTAGGTTAATCACATGTGATTCTAACTCATTTTACAAGTCATAGGATGAAGTTAAGGCACCATTTGACTCATTTATAGGGGTTTACGGCCCAGGAACCCATCCTTGGGTGGTTTATGGTCGTCAACTCCTAAGGGGGTAGTTTTTATCAAGTTTAAGGTCCCTAACACATTTGTGGTTGCTTCTAGACATTATTCCAAGGCTTAGGAGGTATTTAAGGGGCATCTTAACACCTTGAAAGGTGTTTACGACCTATGAAAAGGGGTTTACGGTCTAATCATGATCTTGGTCCGTAAACACATGTTTACCCCTTAAATGATGAGTTTTTGGTGTTCCAAGTCCGGTCTTGAAAGCCCTTAAGTCATATCTAAGCTCTAAAGGTGGTTTGGAAGGGTTTTAAGGCTAAAAAAACTCCATCAATGTGAGTTCACAGCCTAAGGGTGTTCCAGGGCCGTAAACACATGTTTATGGTCCTATTTCATAATTTAAACATGAAATTTAAGGCTAAAGATGTTAATCTATGAGCCTGGATAGTTATCTAACTGATTTGGAGCTTGAATGGGGGTGATCTTTGGATCAAAAGCTTAGATATGTAGAGAGAGAGTAGAGAGAGGTTGAAAAAGCTTCAAATGAAGTTATTTCAACTTTAAATATGGCTTAAGTTTGAGACACGGTGGAATTCTACCCGATACTGACGTTAAACGAGGCTTTTGGTCGTACCCGATTAGGTTACCGTAACCCGACATGGTCAAAACTTATAATTTTTCCAAATAAATATTTGGAATGTTTTCACGCAATTATAATGTGTTCCGACACTTATGATGTCAAACTGAGAAGTCCCAGTTTTATTCATTTAAACAAAGTTAACGGAAAAATTTTAACGTAATGGCTTAGCTGACAGAAAACGGGTTACAAAGATGGAAAGTTTTGGGATTGTGACATAAGGCTTTAAGCTCCTTTAACATGTGAAAACCTCCATAAATCTATTGTTTTTAGTTGTAGAAAGTTGAGCAATTTGAGGACTCAAACTTTCATACAACTTGGCAAATTTGGTAACTGCATCACAAATTATATCCACCTTTTGATTAAGAGATGCAAATTCAATGCGAACAACTGCAATCTCTTTCTCTATATATTGTCTAAGCTCTTGGAGTTTAAAATTCACATCTTCTCTTACTTTCTTCACATCTTGAACAAATAATACATGTCGTTCCTTTGGCACCAATTTTAATTATTTGAACTCACCTTCAAAAATAGATTTATGAGAATTTACCCTCATATCATTGCTATGATCACAAAGATCAATTTTCTCTAGGAGACGAGACTCAAAATCTTTTATCATTCCCGAAACCTTTGAAGTAATCCTCCCTTCAAGCATCTTTAACAGACCATCCACTTCTAGACTGGTCACTAAATTTCCTCCCCAAGATCAACCTATGATTGAAAAATTGAATTGAGATTTGTATTCAATATTTCGGACTGTTTCATTGTCATGAGCATGTGATCTGGGAAGTCAGTTTCTTCTTCATCAAACTCCAAATTTTCAAATGTCCCTCCAAAACCTTCGAACTCATGTTCATTTTCCACAAAAGAAGAATCTTGAATTGGTGAAGTTGTGGTAGGTGGATCAATGGATTGTGAAGAAAAAAGAGATGTAATTGGTTGTTTGATAATGTTTTCAAAGGTAGGAGAATCAGTAGTGGAAGTAGTAGGAATGATAGGAGTGAGTTGTGGAAGTAAATAAACAAGAATTTCTAAGGTAACATCCGAAGTTTTACCTTGGTCTCCTGTATGCGAAGCATCCTCACCCATTGTAACATTTGCATCCGTATGAGATACGTTTACAAAATTGTCAGAAGTTCATGCCTCCTCATAAACTGACTTGGCAACCGAATCTTCGGGTGGTATAACATCAGTTGGTGCAGCATGAGAAGATTATTTCTGAAGATCGGCTTCTGGAGTTTCTGGAACTGTTTCATTTTCATCAGCGGTAGACTCAGAGGAGATGATCACCTTACTTTTCTTCTTGTTCTTTGATATGTGTTTGCCCATATCAGTTTCCCTTCGCATCTTAGAAGATGGTGAAGCAGGTGCAGGAATCTCACAAAAGAGAAGTCCTTGATGCGAAACCTGTGGTTTTCGGATAACATTTGTTAGAAGAGATCGACTCTTATGTTTGGATTTCATCTTGATTCTGCGAAAGACACCAGTTTTCGAAGGAATGATTTCTGTTTGAGTTGATGGGGGTATCAGCAACAAAAACTTCGGGTTTTGTTGGCTCTGGTTCTGTAATCGGTAACTTCTTCGGACTCTTTGTAGATTTAGATTCTTTGACTTGTTTCTCAGAAGATTCAGCAGTAGTCTTCTTCAAACACTTAGACTTTGTCTCTTTTTCTCTTTCCAAAAGAACTCTAGTTTCAACAGAAGTATCGATGGTTTGCAAGTAAGTGACTAGAATTGTGTTGGTAGGATCAACTCGTGTAAGCATGGCATTGGGAATGCGAACAACAACTGGAAACTCTTTAGTATCATCAATTGCATCCTTCAAACAACTATACACATGGACCACAAGTTTTTCTTCATCTGCAGGAACCAAAATGCCCTCCTTCTCATAGAAATATTAGAGAATCAAGCTACAGTATCAAGCACACGAAATGCCATGAAGAGCATTCATGTTTTCAATACTCTTCAAGAACTCTATCCATAACTGAGTAAAGTAATCAACTTGAAGATCATAATATAGGCCTGCGACCATAGCATAAACCTCCATTCTCCCCTTGTCTAACCCAACAGTTCTTCCAGTTAAACATCGTAGAAAAATTCCGAACAAAAAATTCCAAACACTTGGAAGTCCTAACTTCTTGAAATCACTTATCATGGACAATTGGGGTTGATTACCCATTTCATTGAATATATGAACAATTTGTGGGAAGGTAAAAGTGATGTATGGCGGAGAGTTAGGGATATCGAGAATCTAACAAAAAAGCTTCTTTGATAGTCTGACCTTTTTATCAGTTACTAGATTAAACAGAACAACATCCAAAAGCATTCGAATAAGTAGTTGTTGATCCAACTTGAGATATCCATGAAAGAGGAACAGAGAATGAGTTGAACATGGATTTAGACAATACAGAGCTTGTTAGAGCAACAACGAGCATTTTATGTTCTTCAAGATATAGATAGATATTTGCTTCAACTTGGTAATTTTTACCCTGAATCTTCATTATTGGCAATGAGGTAACATCATCTATGGTGTGAGACAGAGTTGCATCAGGATTAGCAGTCGCCATTGTTAGGGTTTGAGAGCTAGATTTTTATCAA